ATAATCTGGACAAGACCACACCCCCATGACAAGGTAGATTAACTTTCAAAAAAAGATCACTAATTGGCATTAATAGGTAATAATTTACACTTTTAACCTTAACATAACTTCTTATGTAATTTAAGAAGGATTTGCAACCTTTGTTAATAGCAAACTGGCCTCTCATTTTTCATTCCTTTTTTTGCTTGTCCCCTTCTTTTGTCATTTTTTTTACTTCTACTATCAATCCCATTCAAACATGTTAATAAAAGGAGACATTTTACTTCTCATTCCACAATAATTTGAACATTATATTAAAAGAGGGCCATACCTCTTTATAAAAATAGGGATTGGCGCTGATGGGGTTAAGCAAGTCAAAAATGGCAGGAGGGGTCAATTTTTGACGCCCCCAGCGCTAGTCGTTCCTTTGGAACAAACAGGGAGTGCCGACCCCTGGGCAGCAGCCCTGCCGAACCCTTCGGGGAGACTCCTCTCTGCGTATGGGTTGGACCACTCATGCGCTTAGATTCTAGGTCAAAAAACAACGCAAAAAACAACGCTTCCGGGTACTACAAAAAGGGCAACTTCACCAAGGTAAGGAGGAGAGTCCAGTTGCTGTACTCTCAAAGAATTTGGCAATAATAACAAAGGTTGCAAATGCACTAAACAATGTAAAATTTGCAATATAACCAATATGGGTAATACTATCACATCGAAGATAACTGGATTGGTTATCAACACATATAAAGATAAGGATACAACGTACTACCAAGAATGTAGTATATTGCCTAACGTGTAACGACTGAGGTAAACAATATGTAGGAATGACCATTAGAAAAGTAAAAGAAAGAATTAGTGAGCACATTACTAACATTAATACACATAAAAAATACATTGTTATATGACCATTTTTACAAATATAAGAAAGGTATTACGATAACAGTCCTAGACTCCATTGCTACTAATGATAAAATAACACTTACAGAGAAAGAATTGTTTTGGATAAAACTATTAATGACAGCATCTCCATTTGATCTTAATGACAATATTAAAGGATATGGAAATATAACCGATAACACTAACTAACACTAAACGTTTATTACTAGGTAAAGAATTACCATATTTCTCCCTCAAAATCACTAAACAAAGAAGTAATAGAGGCAGTAATAGGAATAAAAATGAAAATAAAAAGTTTTCAACAAGTATTAGATTTGATAACAAACCAAGAACAATTACTCAAATACAGTATTACAGACTGATTTAAAGTTTAAATAATAAAGAAATTAAGAGAATGATCAATTCATCTATGAACTGTGATTTTCTACGAAACGTTAAGAATAAAACAAAATTTCTTGTGTTATGCATACTAGCACACTTTCAGTACAATAACACAGACCCAAAAAAATCTAAGACTAATTTCTGTAACGTAGTAGTCAAATATGATAACAGAATATACGATTATTTGCCACTTGGGAAAATGCTTAATTCAAGAAATATAAAACAAATAATAAAGAAGGTATAACACAATCAGTAAAGATTTCACCTTATTAGGATAGTATATACATATGAAAATCCAATATCAATCAAAGTTTTCAACTACAACAAAACTTTACGAAATTCAAATGAAGTAGAAAAGATAATTAACAGCAAATGTATTTGCGAAGATAACAAATATAATGCATATGTAGATAGTGTCCATGGACATGTTATAACAGGCGACTTAAGTATAATTAAAGAAGAAGAGTTTCGAATAATTCTAAGTAAAGGAACAAAATATAGGATTGACAGTGGAACGACAAGAGAGGAAGTGAAAAATAAATACAAAGAAATAATAGATGAAAGCTGTCAAATTTTACAAAAATAAATATAAACTTAACAACACCAAAGAAAGCGAAATATATAAATATTTCTATACAATAAAAAATAAAACAATAAAAATGGCTACAATAAAAAAATTAAACCTCTCTTAACTAACTCTAATGTACAGGAAAATGGAGAAAAGGTTCCATACAAACTGATACAAAAATACCAAGATAAAGTTGTATTCTGTCCACTTGATAAAGCTAGTAACAATTATGGAACTATATGCAAAAAATTCTATTTGAGTATCATAATGAGGAGATTTACATATAGTGGAGCTAATAGTATTTATGACATACCGAAATATGATATAAATACTATAATTGACAAACATAATTCATTCTGTACTAAAAATAATTTCAATAGACAAGAGGAAGCCCGATTACCGTTAATTTACGTAATACCAAAACTACATAAAAATCCGATTAAGTTTAGATTCATCACAGGAGCTCATAATAGTAGTCTTAAACCTTTAGCGCGAGAGTTACAAAGTATCTTTTCACATATAAAAAAAACAAAACAAACTGTTGGTTCACTAAAAAATTTTCCTATTCCATTGATTTTTCCCTTTAGCATGTTACGCCTTGGCCGCAAGGTGTAGCAGTAGGCTTTATATGGTACAGTAATAATCTTCATATGGTACAGCTGGTAATGAAAAAAAACATATTTCACACATATAAAAAACATTTTATGAACTATACAAGGGTAATTGAACAACGCAATGGAACTATCAAATCATATTGGTCAATTGATAACATCAATATTAGTAAAGAGTTAAATAATATTAAACATGATAACATAAAAATTTACACAGCAGACTTTGTAGACATGTTTACTAATTTAAAACATGTTAACATAATGAGTAATATAAGAGAGTTGTTGAATATTTGTTTCAGAAATTCTAGTAAACCATTAATAGCGACCAATGGTTTCAAAGTTTGTTATACAGAACAATCTATTATAAAAAAAGGGCACTATTGAACTATTCCTACCCCAAAAAACTCGAAAATTTTTTCGCTGAAACGTTGCCTATAGATGTAATTCGATGCGCTGATCACGAATATAACATCCGTTTTGAGCGCTGGCGTCATTTGGCGCCATTATGCGCCAATTTGGCGCCCACCACTTTTTCACCAAAGTTGATGAAAACTTGCATATGGGGGTTAATTGAGGTCCTGATTACGAATCCAACATTTATTTTTGGCGCTGGCGCCATTGGCGCGCCAATTTGGCGCCATATTGGCGCATAATGGCGCCAAATGGCGCCAGCGCTTGAAACCAGTGTGATATTCGTAATCAGGACCTCAATTAACCCCCATATGCAAGTTTTCATCAACTTTGGTGAAAAAGTGGTGGGCGCCAAATTGGCGCATAATGGCGCCAAATGACGCCAGCGCTCGAAACGGATGTGATATTCGTGATCAGCGCATCGAATTACATCTATAGGCAACGTTTCAGCGAAAAAAATTTCGAGTTTTTTGGGGTAGGAATAGTTCAATAGTGCCAAAAAAAGATTAGTTAGTTAAAAGTTAAAAGGTTTCCAATAGAAAGCACCAATATATCTAGTAACACAAAAAGTTCAGTAATTTACACAGAAACTCTCAGAATAGCAAACACATGTACCTTGTTTAGTGTATTTAGAAATAAAATTAAAGAAATGATAAGGGTATTAATAAAAAATAACTATAAAGAAGAATTTATTGTTACAAATATAGTTAAATGCATCTACAAAAATAAGTTTATTAGCTATAAATATTCCTGATGGAAGATTATAAAAAATTAATAAGTTAGTTAAAGTATTCTTAATAACTCAACATTAAAAAGTAGATATGAGTTCTTTCATCAAGGGACATCCTATCACAAGTAATAATACTCTCAGCCTTACTTTATAACACCTGACGTGCTCTATTTTCATTGCATATGTGACACTGAGTATCAGACTCTACAGTTTTTAGGCCCACTAAACCATTCATTCTATAGGATTCACTCTTGAACTTCTCTTAATCCTAATTATATACATGTATATTGTCACCTTTTTCCACTTACACCACACTTCTCACCTATCTGATTAGTTTGTCAACCCCAACTCACTGATGAGCCTCAGGGGTTGACAAGCAAAGTGATTCGTCTGAGTTGAGGCGAAACGAATCACTTTCATTCAAACATGTTGTTACACACATTTATTTACCTTCCTTTTATTTGGTAGAAAGGGGACAAATTGATACAGCACCGTAGGTGGAAGTGAATAGATCCAGACTGGTACGATAGCTTGAGGGCAGTTGGCGCGATTAAATTCCCAAGACGAGCAGGATCAATGCGCCGGGCAGGACGAAAATCCGCCCCTGAGCAAACGCTGCGTAGCGGTTTCTTCAAAGAGGATACCTCTATGAGGCTCTATCAAGTTGCTGACCCAGACGCCCACCGCGCGCCGCCCGCCCACAAATGGACGACCGTACCTGATGCTCGTATTGCTTCATTTGCGAAGTAGAATATGAAGCGGAGGGATCATCTGCAAAGTAGAATATGAAGTGAAGGGATCGATATGAAGTGCTACATGGATATATGGGTGCAGACATGCAGCCATATCTACCGCAGCGGTTATTGGAAACTGCTTTCTGAATCATGAAGAACAAATGCTTTTCTTCGCTGGTTTTACTTTTCTACTTCGTTTTTCACCATTTTCCCATCTTTAGATGGTTATGGTTATTACAGGTTGAATTGTTAGTAATGCCACTGACACCGGCCAGTGATTCTATTTTTGGCACTGTTAAGCATGGCTGACATTCAGTTGAGCGGGTGGTCCAGTTCGGTGATTTGAATCATGGGCAGCCGTCTGAGCAGAGAAATAGACGACGGCTCATAACCATTTCACATCGCCCTTTCTCCCAGCTGCTGCCTCTATACCTCTGTTTTCCATTCTCTCAGCATATTTTCGATCACCCTTCCTTTAATATTTGCTTTTGTTTTCACACTGACCATGGGCTTCCTTTCGAAATCTTTTTTCTTTGGAAATAATAGTCGACTCCGGCCTACAGCGTATCACTTAGTGTACGCACGCGAGGCAATCACCACATCGTGCGATTTATTTAGAGTGGCTTGAAACCACTTGTTCCGTGATGTGCGCACTGACGTGCATTATGAAGGCATGCAGGCAATCACAGATGAGAAGCCGAGGCCAACTTTTATTATGGATTTCCTCTTCAGAGGCAACTTTCTGTGCTGATCTTTATCATTACTACTGCGTTCAGCTTGACAAGTTATCATGCCGTATAGCAGAGTGTGGGGCTTCAATAACGGAGTTGGAGAAAAGAAGAACAATGTTGGAGATGTCAATCAACGATCTTGAGGGCAGTGTATGTGTGAACTTATCACTTAGTTGCCGAAGTTAATTCTGTAAATCTGAGAATTTAGATCATCTATTGTTTAATGGATTGCAGCATGCTAAACGACGAGTCCTTGAAGACCAACTGACTCGAATGCTGGTTGTGGGCAGAATATCGAGTGTGGAGAAGGAACTTGCCGAACTGGTCTGTCCCGGCGAAGAAAAGGATGTTATCTACAAAGAGCGGGATGTTAGTTCCTTCAGCATTGCTTCTGTAGAGAGCATATAGCAATCAATCTTGGGTTGTGCCTCTGATTCCATTCTCCCTTGGGATCGTCGTGACATTTGAATGCAGCTCTGATTCTGACTAATTAATTTGGCTAATAGAATGGCTTACTGGGGCCGCCGATGTTGAAAACAAACCCGCGATAGTTATTGATATGAAAAATGAATGTGTAGGTGAACAGCGAAGGGGAAAGCCAAAGGAACAGTGGAAAACCATGAACAGGGCCCATTGAGTGGGCAACTTGTTCGGACTTGCTGA